TTGAGGTCCTGGGTGATGGTGGTGCCCAGGAAGCGGAAGGACTCCACGTTGGAGATGGGGGTAGGGCTGTCTGTGAGGGCAAGGGTAACAGTAACCCGAGGAGGGCACAAAAACACATGGTTTTGGGCACAAAAGCAGGATTTTAACATGTGAAGAAATTATACTATAGGACATATTTTTATACAGTTGCAGCAAAAATGTGGATTTTGGGGTAAGTAGTCCCTTTAAACAAGAGTCATCTCAACATAAATATATAACCTATAATGCCTGAGTTGAAACATAGTCAGTTATGAATAGACTGAATTGGAGTTGCATTTGAAATAAGTTGAAATATAACATAAATCCATAGATAAATGTGCTGACTAGATATATTGATGTTGAAGGATTACTATAATCATTGATTAAGCTGTGAAGTCACATCTGCTCCATTAAATAGTAACATCAGCTAATATTAGGTGTTTAATTAGTGAGTCACATAAGGCTCCGACTTTGCTCCACCAACCCCTCGCAAATTTAGAAATGGTGCTGCTCACATTAGTATTATTTGAAAGGGTCTCTGCATTACTTACTCACATTAAACCAACTGGTATGAATTTTCACGTAGTTTGTTTTTTTATTTATTTTTTTCATACTCTTTACAGCACTTTATCTGTAGACTCTTGCTTTTATTTCTTTGTAAGTCTGGGTAACTTTTGCCAACATCAGATGTAATTTTTACTCCAATGTCCCCATCAGACAGATCTAAACGGAGAAAAAATTGCCAAAGTGTTCCGTTCTCATGATGCATTTTGTAACTACCTAACTGTAGTTTTGAAATAGGGTTACCTTGACACGAATTATATCATAAATGTCTGTTATTTGCGGGAATATTTCTGTCAGACAAATTTGCCTACAGTATCTACTCATAAAACAAGCAGCTGCACAGAAAGAGGTAGGGGAAAGAGCAGCTCTCTGTTACTCTATATGGTCCATGAAGCTGGAAACAACCTGTGTCGATGCGGTCCTTTCTCTGCAGTTGTTGCCACACAAATATAAATTACCACTGAAGATACTAAAGATTTGTTTTATTGTAAGAATTGCAGCTAGTAGCATATTCTGTGACGTTCTCTGGTGCTATTGGAGGCTATTGGAGACTTGTTATTCTTCTCCATGAGTAATGGGTACAGCAATGGCCGCATCATTCCCCGCAGCTTCAGTCACAGCAGGAGATGTTCACATCTCCTTCGTGTGCCAAGCTGCTACTGGCTGACTTGTTGTTATTGCAGGGTCCAAAGCAAACTATGACATCAAAAACCAAACCAGGCTTTAAAGAACTCGTAACTCCACATCTCATTTTGGCAACTTTGGGCATTTTCATGTTTGAGATTTTGACAACTAAAAAAACAAGGCTTAACAGAAGAAAGAAATTCACAATACCAGACATAATTTGGGCTGTTTTGTTGTCACCTTTTATCTGATATTCCTCTCTTTAAATTAGCTGATTACATCATCTTGTGAGAGCCAGTGGCAACTTTTCTCACTGAGAAGTTGGAATCTCATTAAGCGTAGCCTGTTTTACCATAGGAATTATATGATAATAAATGGAAGGTACTGGTACATCTTGATTAGGCCTACATCCCCATACTTAGTCTGAATTAATAATCAAGGCTTAACATTGTTATTTGGTTTAGACACATGCATGCCCCTCTCTATTAATAACTCAACTTTGGATATTATCATCCCACTGTATGGCCCCAAACTGATGGCTAGATGGAGCAGGGACCCCCTAATTTTATATATATTGTATTAAAATTGTGCTATATCAAACTGGTCCTATAGTCACTCTGTTGCATATGGAGTAATGTAACAAAAGTAACTTTGCCCTGGGATTGTTAGAGTATTTCTGATTCTGATTCCTGGTTGATGGGACAGGTGTTGTGAATGAAACTGTGCCCAGCTTGAAAGAGCTCCTGTGTGTCGCTCAACGTGAGCAGTAATGACTGAAAGACATCTTCTGCCGCCATTTATCTGTTTACTACAGTGTGTTGAATTCATGTTAATGTGGATTTAAAGACATTTCAATTAGTGGAAAAACTTGCAGGAGGGAATATAAAAAAAAGTCTAATCAACCAAAACTTTTGCGAACCCCATGCAGTACATCCTGGGGGTCGTGGACAACCTGTTGAAGACCTCCAAGTTTATTTATGTGTAACTTGAACATAATTTTACAAGTTCTTCATCTATTGTTAAAAAAAATGTTGATGGACATGTCGCTCATATCGAAAAACCCCCTCCCGAACAGAAATCACTTATCCTGCCAACAGAGGTGTTTTTAAACACCACATTAAATCTGTGTGACTGAAACATGTGGAATTCACTCAAAGTAAAGCTTTAAAACACAGTTTTTAAGAAGGTAGGCTGTAAATAAAGTGGATAAAAAATATAAAGTATGTAGATAGAAAGAGAAACTAAGGTTTTGGACATGGCCAAGCGGCTGTTGTCATCGATAAGGTGAAGATTATCAGCAATAAGAAACCCACTACAAGGTAGAGGAGGTGCAGTCTAAAGCCATTCTATGGGACTAATAACCGCTAATAACGTCCATTTAATGGTGTAGTATCTAAGTGGAGGCGGGGCCTTTAATAAGAATGCAACCTTTCACTCCCAAGTACTAAGCAACCTTTATATGTAAAAGATTGCGAGAAAAGCAATGCAGCATTAAATGTAAGGATACAAGCTACAGAACATGTAAATAATAGGGGTGGAACGGTTCACAAAATGCACGGTTTGGTTCAGTTCACGGTTTCGTGGTCACAGTTTTCGGTTCGGTTCGGCATATGTTGATTATTACGCCGAAATCCCATAAAAATTAATGAAATAAATGAAAAAATACAAAAAAATTTATGAATTGTAATTATTTTTAATGATCCGCGGAAACCCTGGATCATTTCCGCATGTTATGCTGCTTTGAATTTAATCATCTGGCGCATACCCTCTACGATCTACAAGGAACTCGGAGCGGACGGGAGCCACAGCGGAGGCTGTAGGCTTTGCTCTGTGCAGGCGGTCTGGAGCGCAGAAGGGCGGAGCG